CTATTGTACTAAAATAGCGAAATTTTAGGGAAATTTCTTCATTTTTGTCATAATTTTGAGGAAATGAAAACTCTCCATTGGTGCTTAGCCCAACAACGGAGGAGCTCAAACTGTATCAAATTGTATAAAAGTATTATAAATAGAGAAGGAAATAGAGGGAGGAGGAAATTAGTTGTGTTCTATTGGACTATAGTGGGACTAAAGTGGGACTATTGTGGGGGCTTAAGGTATTACTTTAGGGCAGAGGTGCCCATTAGGTCGATCGCGATCTACCAGTCGATCGCAAAGCGAACACTGGTAGATCGCGATCGGCTATGTCCCGTGGGGCTTCTCCTCTGGATCCCCGCTGCTCTCCCACCATCTGTATGCAGCAGGGATTCGAGCGGAAGTGAAGGAATCGCTGCAGCCGTCGGCAGGGGGGCAGAGGACGGAGGCGCTATCACAGCAGCATGGCCGAGTGGTGAGGAGAGAAAGAGCCACTCGGCCAGGATCTGACAGCCAGCGGCTCTCTCTCCTCACCGCTCGGCCATGCTGCTGTGACAGCGGCTCCGTCTGCCCCTCCCCGCTGGCTGCATCGCTTCCTTCACTTCTCCTCGGATCCCCACTGCATACAGATAGGGGAGAGTAGCGGGGATCCAGAGGAGAAGTTGCAGGCTGAGCCCCCCTGTGTGCGTGGCCGAACGGTGGAGGATCGGTACATATCAGTGATATGTACCAATCCTCTGTGCAGAGCACATGCTGAAGCGATCAGTTGATCCCTCTAGTGTTTGTAAATAACACTAGAGACACATAGTACTATGTTTCCCCAGTTATGAATGAACAGGAAGTGCTTTGCATCACTTCCTGTTCATGAGTTTCTCAATGGGGAGTAGCACTCTGTACAGAGGATTCTCCTCATTCCGAAACGGGATGATAGTAAATAGTATAGTTTCTGAATGAATGGGAAGCCTCTGTGCTTTCCATTCATTGAGTGCTGAGGCTGCAGAAAAAGAGTTTGAGGACCCTGTGTCCTCAATTTATTCTTCTATTTTAAAAGGGAAATATCAGGGAGCTGTTTAGACCCCTGATATTTTCCCGAAGCCCCTCCCCCCCCAACATTAAAAAATAATTACAATTAGAAAATAAAAATTAAATAAAAATTAAATAATAAAAAATTAATAAAAAATAATAAAAAAACACATCCTGGAGGCGGGGCGCTGGGTGACGCCACACGCCCGTTGGGGGGACATATTTTTTTCTAACACAGTGTGATCGCCCGCACCCGGAACGCAGGCACCTGCATTCCAGTACAGTGCGATCTAAAAAATAGTGCTTGCAGCGTTTTTGCAGATCGCACTGGACCGGAAAACAGGCACTAATGTGCCTGCGTTTCCGGGTGCGGGCGATCACACTGTGTGCGGGGGGCGTGGCTGCGGTGCCATTGACTTTAATGCACCACCATGCCCGCTCCCGCCCCTGAATGCAGGTGTTTTTTCGTTGGTAGATCTCATTGAGCTCGTCATTTGAAAAGTAGATCTCCAGACGATAAATTGTGGGCGCCCCTGCTTTAGGGTTTCTTTATGTGGGGGGGAGTTCAGGTAATGCTGTACAGGTTTCAACCGCAGGCAATATTCGAACCCTGATGAAGGGAGAGTGAGTCCCCAAAATGCATTGGCTGTGTCTATGTCACATGATAAATCATTAAAGCTACTCTTTGGTCTGGCGCTCCTGTCATGTTTTTATGTTTGGAGTCACCAGAAAGGGTGTCCCCTGCGGCAAATGATCCCTCACCTCAGCTCTGGTATAACTATAAAATGTGGAAGTTCCCATCACTTTTTGGCACCAGAACCAATAGAAAGGGTGAATCTTACCAACAGGCAGCTATAAAAATTGGGTAGAAGAGTTCTACATACAGGAGTATACAATTATTAAAAGTTCATGAGCCATGAAAGAGACCAGGCAGTATTAATGCTAGTATTAATATTGTGGGGCAGGCTATGTGCACCTAGAAAGAAATAGTTAAAGTCAGTGGCGTCACAAGGGGGGTGCGGCCCGCACCCGAGTGGCACCATTGGAGGGGTGACACCAAAATGACTGGAAGTCATTTTGGTGTCACCCCCCTCTAAAAAGTCGAGTACTCGGTCATGGACCGAGAGCCCGACAGTGTCAGGAGAAAGGAGGGAACCTGGCGGCTTACCTCATCCCACCGGGTGAACATCCCCTCCTCTCTCTGCCAGCGTCCATCACCAAGATGGCAACCGGCAGGCGTCAATTAGACGGCCGCGCATGCACAATGACATCTTTGCGCACGCGTGTGGTGATGTCACACGCATGCACGATGACGTCATGGCGGGGTGTCACCCGGTCACTGCTCCGGGTGAATATCTAAAGCCAAAACTCTGTTATTATTTTGGAAAAAGTAGCGGAGGGTTTATTTGAATAATTCTTCAAATGATGAGGATCACCGGATCACTTGGTGGGTGTAAAGAATTGTTATGTATTGGAGTCCCCTTACAGATGTATTTACTCTAGGACTTCCGTGGATGGTCCATAGGAAAACATGAAGATGACATAAAGGACAGACACACCATTCCACCTACCAAAGTCCAGAGTAATATTCATCTAAGGTCACCAAGGAGGATTCTCACAACCCCTGCAACTTTTTGGATTTCATATTGGCTTTTTCCATGAAACGTGTTGCCGTTGGCACTTTGGAGTTTCTGTGGTATCTGGCACCAAGCCATCAGTAGCAGATCCTTTAGGTCCTGTATGTTGCAAGGTGGGGCCTCATTCGCTCCTCGTGTGCATCAGCGAGCCTTGGCCACCCACGACCCTGTTGGTGGTTCACCAGTTTTCCTTCCTTGGACCACTTTTGGTAGGCCTGCAGACCGGGAACATCCCACAAGAGCTGCAGTTTTGGAGTTGCTCTGACCCGGTCAGATAGCTATCCCAATTTGGTCCTTGTCAGTCACTCAAATCCTCACGCTTGCCCATTTTTTCTGCTTCCAACACATCAACTTGAGGGACAAAATGGTCACTTGCTGCCTAACATATCCCCCCCACTTTCAGTTACCATTGTAATATGTTCCCCCACTTCAAGATGTCATTGTAATATATCCCCCCCCACTTCCAGGTGCCATTGTACTATACCGCCCCCCACTTCCAGGTGCCATTGTACTATACCGCCCCCCACTTCCAGGTGCCATTGTACTATACCGCCCCCCACTTCCAGGTGCCATTGTACTATACCGCCCCCCA